CTTTGAGACCTAGCCTAGACTTCATTTAGAGAGAGCATGTGCAACTTACTCCTTTTTCAGGAAGACGCAGCTCTGTGAGTGGGTAGATTCCTCACCTGCTTCCAGAATGACTAAGGCCAACTTGACTCATCCATGCAGAATTTGAGAAAATGTCAGTCGGAAGGAAGTTATATCACAACACCGAGGAATCATTTTTAGTAAAGGAGCACAAAACTTAAGTCTGAGCACCCTAGCAACCAAAGCAAGAAAGGAAAGAGGCACCAGGGTCTGCAAACTCTTAAGCTGCCACCCAGTCCTCTGAAGAGATGCCTTACCCTCAGAGGGCTATCTGGGGGATCTGGCAGGCTCAGTTAAGCCTGCATTTCTTACACTAGGGAGGGCTTGCCATGTCTGTATCTGGGTACCTAAAACTTGAACACTAATCATGCCCATCTTCCTGTGGCATCAGTTTTACTCCACAGTAGAGCAAATGCTTACTTGTTTATATTATTTTACAAAGAGTGCCATTGTGGAATACAGTGCAAAGTTGGCATGCGGTGTCAGATAAGCATGGGATAACCTTGAGCTTTGCTCCTAGAGCCTTTAGGAATGTGTGGACTTGCTCTCACCTGCCTTTCAGGGTAAGACGTGTTGCTGGGGTATTCTGAGACACCTCAGCTTAGTCCATAAGTGGAGAGATAGAAGGAAGTAGCAAACGGGGGAAGCGGGAGAGGGAAGATGGCGCAGGCTGGGACAGGGTCGGGTCCCCAGTGCTGATCTTTGGCGCCAAGTCTTATCTTGCCATGCTGGGCCAAGCTCATAGTCTGCTGTGTGTACCAAGACAGCACCATCCTGTAGAACTTTCCATAGTGATAGTATATTCTCCTTCTGTGCTGCCCAGTACAGGAGTTGCTAGTCCCATGTAGCTCTTGAGCACTTGAATTTTTAAATGTTTATAAATTGAGTCGAAATCTCACTCAGGTCCAGGACAGAGTGCAGGGTGTGGTAACGGCTCCCCATGGCCTTGACCTCCTGGGCTCAGGTGATCCTTCCACCTCAGCCTCCCAACTAGCTGGGACCACAGGTGCACCACACCTGACTGATTTCCTTTTTTTTTTTTTTTTTGTAGAGATGAGGTCTCTCTGTGTTGCTCAAGCAGTTCTCCTGCCTCAGCTTCCCAAAGTGCTGGGGTTAACAGGTGTGAGCCATTGTGCCCAGCCTAAAATGTCTATACTCTTAGATCTAGTAATTCTGTTCCTAGAGTGTCATCCAAATGAAATAATTGGAAATTTGGACAAACTTTTAATATGCAAGGGTCTTCAATGAAGGATAGTTTATGAGAGCAAAAAATTGGAAACATGACAAATGTTTAAATGAGGAGTGGACTAAATAAATTATAGATAAGATGCCAGAAGGACATCAACATGTTTACAAGGAACATTACTGAGGGAAAATACATTTTTGTAGAGCAGTCGATAAAAAAGCAAGAATCAAAATAGTATATACAGCGTGACCACCGAGGAGACACAGGCAGACAGACACATGAGCATCAGAAGAAAGACTGGAAGGAAATGTGCCTAAACTAATGGGCATTGCGAGTTTCAGGCACTTTTAATTTCCCTCTCTGTATCACTGTGCATTTGGCAAAGTGCCTCCACTGAGTACAGGCACCACTTGAGAATCAGAAGGAAAAGAATTTCCTTAAAATAAGACAGCTGCTCACTGCTCTATCAGAGCTGCCAGGGAGGGAATGGAGGGGGTTCCATGAAATGCTCTGGTTCAAGCTCAAGGCCCATTGCACTTTTAGTAAACCTTTTGAGTGGCTCTCAGCATTCTCTCTTTCCCATCTCTGTTCAGCACTGCTCTCTAATACCGTAGCCCTCCCTTTCTAGAATCAAATCGCATTAAATAGAGCTGGGATGATACTGCCCTGGTGTCTTTTCGCCCAGCACCTTTTATAATTCCAAAACTCTTTCATATACAAAAGTCTTTAGAATCTTTCTCTGTTAGCAAGTTGTAGTTTTACTGTTGTAAAATTTTTTCTCCTGGTCATACAACTAATCTCATTTCAGAGAGTTCGGGGAATTGAGCAAAAGAAGGGCACCTGTCTCCCCCCAGGCAGCAGCAGCGACCCTCTCCTGTCTGCCTTGCCCCATCCCTGTTTTTTCTGCCCGTAGGCGGGGCTGGTATCATATCACCACTGCACAGATGAACAGACAGAGGGTCAGAGAGGTTAAGTGACTCACCTGAGGCCTGCTAGCTGGTCAAGTGGCAGAACCGAGGCCCGAGTGTGAGTTCTAGTCTGTGTTCTTTCCCTGGCTTTGTAGGTGAGGTTTGACGTAACCCCAAATAGGCATCTCACCTATTCATGGGATGCTGAGAGCCTCTTGTCCTTCCAAGTGCAGCGCTTAAAAGCCTTCTATAATGGCTCAGCTCGCAGACTAAGTTACACGGGGCTGATCCTTTCTTTACAGGAGTTTACTATTTAAAGTAGACACGGGTAACACAGACGGGGTTATTCAGGATACGCGTTGTCACATACAGGCAGAATGAGCTCAATGTTTACCCGACACACAGTGGAGGAATAAAGGCTTTCTGCAGGGAAATGAGTGGGGAAAAAGGAGGGAGTCATGTGGAAGAGGCTTTAATCTAAGCAGCAAGATTGCATTTCCCCGGGACAATTATACTCTGCGTACCTTAAATTTAAATCGAGTCCCTTTAACGGAGGCGAGTTTGCAAACGCTATTTTTCTTTTTTCATCCCAGCCTGAACCATCACCTTAGCTTGTCTTAATATAACCAAGCAGCAGCTTCAACCCAGAACAGTTTATTTAAGAAACAAAAAAGATGGATTTTTTTTTAAGGGTTTCTGTTCCTCATGGGTGGGTATAGTATGCTCACTGTGATTTGTGAAGGCATGCTGTATCCTCCAGCGAGTGAATGTGATAGTCCCGCCCTCCCTTTCCACCTGGACAGCTTCAGCCCTGCCTTGACAGGCGAGGAGTGATCCCAGGCATGGACCACTCCTGGCAAATGAGAAGAAAGTTCAAGATCTGCCTGAGTTCCTACCCCCTCCTGCCTTACGCCACCTCCCTGCCGGGGAGCCGGGAGAAGTGCTGACCACACATTCTGTACTCCCTGGGGCTTTTTTGTGCTTTTCTAAACAAGTTGTGCTGCTGTTGACTTCCCCATGGGAACACAGCCTAAGTTTTAGGAAGAGAGTTGGCCAGACAAATAAAAATAGTCCAGCAGCCTGGCTGTGGCCAACCAGAGGGGGCAGGCAATGGCGTGATGTCTCCTGGGAAGAAGCCTGCATTTCTTTCTCTTTCTGGAGCTCCTGATGCTCCTCCCTAGATTGGTGGTCAGGAAATACCCATGGGTTGTTTCCACTCAAGTATCCCACCGAGGCTAGGCATGGTGCCTCACGCCTGTAATCCCAGCACTTTGGGAGACCGAGGTAGGAGGATCCCCTGAATCCAGGAGTTTGAGACTAACTTGGGCAATAGTGAGAGAAATACCCAGACGTGGTGGTGTGCACCTGTGGTCCCAGCTACTTAAGAGACTAGGGCAGGAGGATTGCCTGACCCCAAGGGTTCAAGGCTGAAGTGAGCTGCAATCATGCCGCTGCACTCCAACCTGGGCCACAGAGCAAGACCCTGTCTATATATGCATGTGTGTGTGTATATATATATGTATGTATGTATATGTTTATATTTCATCGGCACATCCATTTGTGTCTGCATTCCTTGGGGGAAGGATCTCGGACCTGTCCTGAAGTCTTGTGGGGCCCCCGTAAGGGACATAGAGTGGGGAGAATCTGCCATGTCGAGCTGGTGAGTGTCTGTTTTTCAGCCAGTTTCTCCACCGTGGCCAGCGCTTCTCTGCAGCTTCCCGAGTTTCTCCGCCACACTCGGAAGCCGGTGGGGTGGGGGAGGACACTGCACGTTCCACTCATGAAGAGTCACTCATTTGTATCTCATTTTCGAGTTATTATCGAGCCGCCGGTTGTGAGAGTATTTTGACAGCAGCTGTCAGCAAGGTGCAAGCGGCTGCCATCGCCTCCGATTGGCTGCAGACACCCATGGCAGCGTGCTGAATAGTATCCCAGCCCAACCCTGCCCCCACCACAGAGCGAGGCAGGGTGGAAGGGGGTGCCCAGGGAGAAGAAGAAAGCAGCAGAGCGGAGGAAGGGAAAGCACCCGGCTAGGGGGGCCCCCCCGAGCCAGCCAGGCCGCCTGGCATCATCAGCATTTTTCTGACTCCTGCTAGAGAAGGTGGCCGTAAAAGACTCAGAATGTCTCGTGTTTTGTTTAATTTATTTTATTTGAGGTTTTGGGCAGCGAGGGTGGGGCGATGAGAGAGGATCCATCCAAACAACCATTTAGGCTTGTCAGAGTTCATCTATTGAATTAGCAAGGTTAGCGCCCCGAGCTCCCAGCTGCCGGGCTGAGCCTGCAACAGGAGCCGAGCTGAGAGTGGACGAGGCGCGGGCCTGAGAGCCCGGGCGCTCCGATCAATTATGCCTTCTCTCTCTTTTTTCTCTGTTTCTTTTTTTCCCCTCTGCCTGATTGAAGTGCAGTGGAATGCGTGTGTTTTCCCTTCTTCCTTGAACACTCTTCTGTAGCCATAATATAAATCATTCCACATGTGTTTCTTTCCAAGAGCCATACATCCTGGCGGGGGAATAAATAATTTTTTGTATTCTCTGCCTTTTACCTAAGCGATTTAAAATTCGTTGTTGTTTATTTGGTGTTTGTTTTTTGTGTCTTTTTTTTTTCATGTATGAAAAAAATGTCAGCGAAACCGGGGAGCATATGTTTGGAGATAGGGCAGCAAGGGCACTTGTGCCTTAAATTGAGGAAGCGTGGGGGCATCTTAAGTGCAGTGCCAGCAGGAGAATGTCATCTTTGCATGCCAGACAAGGGAGACCCATGTGTAGTTCTTGCTTCCCCCCAGAAAAATTCCCCAGATCTGCTCGGACGTCCATGATGGGGTCTGAATTGCTCTGACTTTGGCTTTCAGCTGCTGTATCCGACTTGGGGCTGAGAAGACTTGGATGTTAGAGCGCACCTGCCGCGTTCTTGCGGACTTTCCTTGCCTGTGGGTACCAGAGAGCCGAAGAGAGCTGCAGTGATCAACCAGGGCACTTTTCCCGGCTAGGGGACATTTGGTGATGACTAGAGACATTCTTGGTGGTTGCAGTTTGGAGGTTGCTACTGGCATCTAGTGGGTAAAAGCCAAGGATGCTGTTCAGCATCCTACAGTGCACAGGACAGACGGGATTGAGGAGCTCTGGCTGTAGGGAAAGGACCAGAGGAAAATTTGTGGAGGAAACAGCAGAGAGCTCTGAGCTCCCTGCGTTTCTAAAGGGTGCGTTGGCATGGGGGAGGGGCTGCCCCTGCCTGTGGGCATTTCACAAGTACAGCTCTACTCTAGAGAGTAGCTCACTGTCATTGTGACAACCCCAAACGGCCCTCCCCAAATTCCCAAAAGCCCTCTGGGGGCAGTACTTTCCATTAAGAACTACTGTCTTGGCTGGGCACAGTGGCTTATGCCTGTAATCCCAGCATTTTGGGAGGCCAAGACAGGAGGATTTCTTGAGCCCAGGAGTTCGAGACCAGCCTGAGCAATATAGCTAGACCTTGTTTCTACAAAAAAAAATCAAAAAGGGTTAGCCGGGCATGGTGGCGAACATCTATAGCCGCAACTACTCAGGAGGCTGAGGTGGGAGAATCACCTGAGCCCAGGAGGTCAAGGCTGCAGTGATTGAGCCATAATTGTGCCACCATGCTCCAGAGCCTGGACAACCACGTGAGACCCCAACTCAAAAAAGAAAAAGAAAAAAGAACCACTACCCTCCTCCATCTATCCCTTCCTTCCTCCCTTCTTCCTTCCTTCCTTCCACCATATGCCAAATGCCAAGCAAGTTCTCTTCTATATCCCTTTTTATATTTGGTTCTAACAATAGACCCATGAGATTGAAGTTTTTACCTCCATTTGTGAGATATAGAAGGGGAGCTAGGTGCCCTGGCTCATGCCTATAATCCCAGTTTTTTGGAAGACCGAGGCGGAGGATGGCTTGAGGTCAAGAGTTTGAGACAAGCCTGGGTATCATAGCAAGATCCTGTCTCTACAAAAAACATAAGAAAGTTAGCCAAGTGTTGTGGTGTGTGCCTGTAGTCCCAACTACACAGGAGGCTGAGGTGGGAGAATCACTTGAGCCCTGGAGTTTGAGGCTGCAGTGAGCCATGATCATTCCACTGTACCAACCTGAGTGACAGAACAAGACCCTGTCTCTTAAAAAATAAAAAGAGGAGGGAAGTGAAGCTTACTGAGGTGATGTCCTACTTGCAGCTCAAAAGCATGGAAGACAGGATTAAAACCCAGCCCTGGGAAGACACCAGTCTCTACACTCTGCCGAGCACTGCTTCTCTCTGAGCGTCAGTTCTCTCATCTGTTGATGATGAGGTCTGATGCTTGTCCTCTCACCTCGTATGTTTTTCTTGACAGTCTTAAGAGGGAAGGTACATAAAGGTGCTTTGGAAATATAGTGTACGGTATAAGGAAATTGTCGTAATTATTCCACCAGGGAAGACCCTCAAATCACATAAGCAGTGAGGAGCATTCCTCATGAACCCATAGATAGCTGAACCAGTGGCTGCTGGCTATGGACTGGGAAGGTCAAGGTTTAAAACGAGAATTGGTTCGGGCCGAAATCTCCAAAGCAGTTGCAAAGCAAAACCAAATATTCTTTACTGATGTGATGTTGGCGTCTTCAGGATTCTGTTATTTGTTAATGCCATTAAACAGATTGGTTCTATCACGTCATTTCAGAGGGAATGTTTGTAAAGCGTTGAGTTTGTACAAAAAGCACAGCATACTGGCAGAGGCCTGACTCTATCTCAGTAGAGCAATAGCATCTGTGTCTGTGTGCCTCTCCCTCTGTCTCTCTGTCTGTCTCTCTCTCTGTGTCTCTCTCTCTCTCTCTCTCTCTCTCTCTCTCTCTCTCTCTCTCTCTCTGTCTCCCTGTCTCCCTGTCTCCCCCACACACACATACACATGCACACCAGCTTTGTGACAGATGGTCATGGAGTGCGGAGAAAGTCCAGGAGTCCAACCACAGCTCTCGCTGTGCATCTAGGTGTCTCAGGGACTTCTAAAAAGTTGGGAATCCCACCTGAGATCAGTTAACTCAGAACTGCTGGGTATTGGCATTTTTTTTTAAACACTCCCCGCTCAGGTGATTTAGACATACAGCCAGGGGTGAGATTGATTGGCTCATCTAGACCTGCAGTGGGCAGACTTTTTTCATAAAGGACCAGGTTGTGTAGATTTTCAGCCTTGTGGGCCAAAGGGTCTCTGTGGGGTTTACTCAGCTCTGTGCTTGAATCTCAAAAGAGGTCAGGAAGTAAGCAAGTGGGCGTGGCTGTTCCAATAAATCTGTATTATAGACGATGAAATTGGAATGTCATGTAATTGTCTCATGTCACAATATTTCCTCCTTGTGGTTTTTCCCCCCACAACCATTTAAAAACGTAAACTTCGTTCTTGCTTTGAGGGCAGTACTGAGGCAGGTGGTGACAGGCCAGAGTTGGCTGTGGGTGTCAGCCCCTGGTATGGATAAACACTAAACTCTCTCAGTGCAGACTTTTGAGGATTCTCTGTGAAAACAGCTGTTCTTCCTTAAATACTGGGCATTTTCATGGGCAGGCAGGCACCTCTGTCTTTGGGCTGTGTTGGCCTGCATGATTGATGTCTGTTCCGCTCTGCCCGTGTCACTCATGTCCCTGCATGTAACCTCCTGGTCATGTGGCACTCTTGACTTTGCGGTGGTCACCCTGTCTGAAGCACCGGTGCTCCTTGCACATCCTCTTCTGGTTTTCTCCATCACCCCCACCTCCTGCTGACCTTCCATGAGATGTCTGCATGTCTAGCTGTGGGTCCTCAATCTGCCTTCCTGGTAAGATGTGGACTCTGGGAAGTGAGGCCCCTCGCCTCCCACCGCTGTGCCTGCAGAGCCTGGAATGTGCCCAGCACATAGTAGGCATTCGTGCAGTGTCTGCTGGGCCACAGTGGGTATTCAGCAGACATTTGCTAAGGGAACAGAGGAATCAGTCAGCATAGGTGACCTAGCACGTCTCTGTTTGCTCACCTCTCTGTATTTACTGCTCATGTCCAAGTTAGTACTCACGGCGCCTCCTGGAGGTAGACCCCATGGATCCCATCAGAAGAAAACAGGTGTTTGTGCCTGTTAAATGCAAACTGCTAGGAGAGGCCATAGGTGCAGGCTCACACCCGGCTGCACAGAGCACACCAGTGCTTCTCCAGCACAGGACTCATGCCCTAATGTGAGTTGACTTTCTACTCATAACTGCCTTTGAGGAGTCTGTGTCTACCTTAGTGTGCCTGGGTCTGTCCCTTTTTGAAGTGGCAGAGCCAAGAGAGGAAATGTAAGAGCATATGATGGGAAACTTTGTTTTTTAACTTAAAAAAAGTCAGACATATAGAAAATGTGTAAGACTATTATAAAGAGTTCCATCCACTTTCATCTGTATTCCCCAAAATTGGTGTTTATTTTCTCATTCTCTCTTTATAGCCACACACACTAGGTTTTTCTGAACCATTCAAGTGTAAGTTACATAAATAATGCTTCTTTACCCTGAATATTTAAGAGCATATTTCTTAAAAACAAGTTTCTTTTTATATCCACAGTATAATTATCAACACCAGGAAATTAACCTAGATACTGTATTATCATCCAATCTGTAGACCTTATTCAAAAATGTTGCCAGTTGTTTTAATAATTATCCTTTTATAGAACAGAAAACAGGCCAGCCATGGTGGCTCACACCTGCATTCCTTGTGTTTTGGGAGGCTGAAACAGGAGGATCACTTGAGCCCAAGAGTTTGAGGTCAGCCTGGGCAACATGCAAGGCCTCTCACCTCTACAAAACTAAAGAACTTTTCTGGGTGTGGTGCTGTGTGCCTGTGGTTCTACCTACTTGATAAGCTGAGGTGGGAGGATTACTTGAGTCCAGGAGGTTGAGGTTGCCGTGAGTTATGTGGTACCACTGCACTCCAACCTGGGCAGCAGAGTGAGACCCTGTCCCTTAAAATGAAAGAGACTAAGCTGCAGGTTCTCTCAAAGCAATGACCTGTCTGTCCTCTTTACCATCATACCCCACAGCGCCATGCCTGGCACATAATAGATGCTCAATAAAAATGAGTCGGTGATTAAGTGACAGGCCCAGAGAAAAACTGCACCCTGGAGGCATACCTAGTTAATGTGACATTAGCCCTCTGTACGTTCTTTTCAAGCCATAGTTGTGTTCACACTGCATTGAGAATTCTAAAGCTACTTTTTGCTCACTTTTCATCGTAGCAGAGACACTTATGCTTGTCATGAAAAACTTTGTAAACCTCATTTTTAAGAACTGCATATCTTTCCATCTTCTAAAAATGGCAGACTTGTTAGAATGCAGTTTGAGAAGTAGGCTTTACTTTTCCCAGGGGAAGGGAGAAGGGAGCGTTTCCATGGAAGCCGCTGTTTTTGTGAGCATTGGCCAAGCTGCTCAGATTCAGGCTTGACCTTACCTGCCCCAGGCTGGTGGAAAAGCAATCGAGTTCCCACGATGGACCCACATAGAGCAGGACAGTGTCATGGGAAGAGCAGAGACTGAGAAACCAGAAGGACTTGGGTTTCAGATCTCGCTCAGTGCTCATCGGTCTCATGGCCTTGGCCTAATTACCTGACTTGGCCTAACCTGCTGATTTCCTCATCTGCAAAGTGGGGGAAAGAAATATCTGCAGACACCACTGAGGAATCGCTGGTTATGCAGAGATACAGGTGTCTTTGTGGTTGAGGGGTTGGCAGTCTGTTTGAGCACCGCCCTGCCTCTGTCCAGAGCTTTGACCCTGGCAAGCTACGTACCCCCTTTGTGCCTCCGTTTCCTCATTGATAAAATGGAAATGATAATCCATAGTACCTACCCTGTGTGATTGCCGTGAAGCTTAATGATGAAACCCAGCCATGGCTTGGAAAAGTGCCGAGTACACAGGACACCTCAGCCAGAGCAGTGACTGTGGTGTCTCCCAGCTCCAGGCTTCAGCCGAGCACGTGACCTGCTTCTCACT